TCACTTTTCCTTTCTAGAGGGAATATCAGAAATTTGTTCAATTTATGATTTTTAGCTTTTGCCATCGTCGTGAAAAGACGCTTGTAGGTAAAAGCATGCTCGGGGGATGTGAGGGTATCTGTTTTTATGAATAAAGCGAGGTTGCTTGTTAAAAGTACGCCTGCGTTCATGAATGAAAATGTTGTTGTTGTGCAATTTCCTATAAATTTGGGCTTCGCCTATTTGGCTGACATATTGACTTGTGACGATTGTTGTTTTTACACATATACATATGTATGTATGTTGGTTTGTGTATGCATTATTTGTCTACATACATATATGCGTGTACATATAAATCAATGCGCGCACATAAGTATATTGTGTGGATATATGATGAAATTATGATTTCAATTTCTGAATCCGCACATTCAAATGCGCTTGTGCAGATATACATATGATTATATATAATATTAATATGATAAAAGATGTACATATGTATGTACATATACATATATTGTAATAAATTTAATCTCTATTAGGAAAGTATGTTATGTAAAAACTAAATAAAATCATTAAATTCCCAAATTGACTATATAAAATATTTTTAAAATTACTTAGATTTAATTAATTAATTAGAGTCTTATCAGTTTTACATGCATTCATAAAAATTCGCAAAATGATATCAGAGAATGTAAATGAATAGAGAAGGCGCAAATGTTAGCTGTACTAAAATGTTAATTACGATGAGGGAACATCGAAAACGCGCAAGTTCGAAAATAAAATGTCACCACACCTATCAGGGTACGCAACGAACTACACCACTCTATAAGCAAAATGTATACACATACATATGCACAGATGTTCTTTGATATGCACATAAACAAAACTTAAAATAATAAAAAGGAAAATAATTGACTTATGAAAAGAAAATATAAGTAATGAGGGAAATAATATGAAAATAGAATTAAAATATCATTTAATAAAAAAGGGTTAAAAAATAAAAAAAAGAGTATATAAATATATCTGATAGGATTTGAACATAGGCAAAATGTTTCACATTGCAATAAAGAAGTGTGCTATACAAGCAACACCACAGACGATATTAAAGCAAATTTGTCTAATCTGTGAACTCAAATAGCTATTATTGTTTACTTGCTTCAAATGTTCATATGTCCATATGCGAATATTCTTGAAATTGCCTTCTTTCATTCGAATGTCCAAATATATTTGCATATATGTACACATATGTACATATGTATGTCCCTCAATATGTCTTTCGCAAAAAATCAAACATTCGCGCAAGTGACAAAAAAACGTAGACACCATCATCGGCCAATAATATTCAATCGAACTCGCGGCTTATTTTCTAAGTATTTCATATAACAACGACAACAAATTCATTCATAAGGAACGTGCGTCTGCTTCAAAGCAAAGTGCGTTCGTTCATAACTCTGCACCGCGCTATTTTTTCTGTGCGCCTGGTAAACCACATTTCGTTTTCATATAGAATCCCTACCGCAAATGCGCGAATAAAAATTAACGAAATTGAGTCTTCAGTAAAATGGAAGAATCAGCAAAATTTCAATTTTACAATTTGTATCACTGAAAATCCTACCATCCCCCTCGCGTTTGTATGTTGCCCACAAGCTGCTTCCTCACAACATTTGCTAAAAATCAGAAATTGAAGAATTTGTCTGATGTTCACTTCAGAAAGGAGAATTGGCAACATGACCTATTAGCGAGTTTATATAATATTTATATTTTTGCATATTATGCACTATATATGGCATTAAATTATAAAATTTATATAAAATTGCCATTCATATGAAATCATTAACTACTTCTATATATTCTAAGCACACCCATTTTATCTAAAAACGACGCTATGAAAATGCAGCCCAATCGTTAATCGTAGCATTTCAAAAGAGCATAAGCAAAGCCCTGCAAAAAGGACAAACGAGACAACATAGCCGATCGACATTGTCGTAAAATTGTCCCTTGAAACAAATTTTGTCAACTCCGCCACGATGAGCAAAATTCGGCGTCAATATGTATGCGAGCTCATATGTATATATGTATGTATGTTTGTCGGCAAAATCGTCATTTGGTTTTTTTCAACAACACAATGTCCGCGCGAACTCGCCGTTATTTGTTGGCTTGCCACCATGCACAGAGGCGTGTCAAGTGAGGGTTCATAATATATTAATATGTTGCTTAATTTGTATTGAAAAATACTAATGCATTATGACTTATTGACGTAATATAATTAATAGATACGTAAAAATATAAATACAAATAAATTCATACCTATAATCGTTTTCAAACTGAATTCGATAAATAAAATATATATCTGAAATAATTATGTGGCGGTGCGCCCCAATCCCTCCTTGCCTGCGATCGTTCAACTCGCAAAAAGCAAAAAGTGTAGACAAATGTCATTGTTTGTGCGGGGCAAGAAGAAGCAAGCATCAGCATACGTGTACTTATGAATGTATGTGTGATTATCACATTTGTGTAAATACACATAATAAGGAAATATTCAATAAACTTAAACATATGAATATATTTTCCTGACATATTTTAATTATCTCTGAAAGTTAAATATGCTAATACAGTAATTGAATTATGGTATGCTTAGATTCCAATTAATAAAATAAAAAATTAAATAAAATTTCAGTTTCATGAGCTTTAGGATTCGAACGTATAGGTTCGTATTCGGATTGTGCTTAACCCCTTCCCGCTTACGACCTCAGCCACCTCAAAAGTGGAAATGTGGCCGCTTAGCCACCGTTTTATTGTTATCCTTTGCTCAATAAGCATTTACTCACGCAACGCACATATATCAGTTGGAAAAATTGTTATTAAATGTTTATTTTATTATGAATTCTGGGGTTTTTACCGATAATACAGATTTTTAATTCAGAAGGCTTTTCATAATTATAAATTTGTCATATCATAGAAATTGAAAACATAAATTTAAATAGGTATGCGCAACGATTTTTCATATAGGAATATTCGTTGTGTCTATTTATAGCAGTTCGCATATTGTGTGGTGTATTTTTCTTTTTCGAAGTTATATTTTTCGATGTTCCCTCATGTGGAATTACAAATTAGTACTCAAAAAGATTTCATTTAACATTTGCTCCTTCTCTAATCATTTACGTTCTCTGACAATATTTTATAAATTTTATAATTTGATGCCATATACAATAGTGCATAATATGAAGTAAATTAAAATAATATTTTAAATCGCTAATAGGCCATGTTGTCAGTTCTCCTTTCTGAAGGGAACTTCAGACAAATTCTTCAATTTCAGATTTTTAGCATCATCCTGAGGAAGCAACTTGTGGGCAACATACAAAGGCCAGGGGATGGATGGTAGGATTTTCAGTGGTATAAATTGTAAAATCGAAATTTTGCTAATTCTTCAATTTCACTGAAGACATTAAAATTCAAATTCATTCATGTTATTTAAATCAAATTTGGTTGACCAGGCGCACAGAAAAAGAGCGCATTTCGTTTTGTAGAATACGCGCGTTCCTTATGAATGAATTTGTTGGCGTTATAATATGAAATATTTAGAAAATATAGTGGGAGCTTGCTCGAATCTTATTGGTCGATGATGGTGCTTCTGCGATTTTTTTTGTCGCTTGCGCGAATGTTTGATTTTTTTACATAAGGCATATATGCAAATATGTTTAGACATGCGAATGGAGAAAAAGCCATTTCGAGAATATTCACATACAAATTGACTATTTGAAACAAATAAAAAACGAAATTTATTCATGTATTGTTTGTGGTGCTACTTGTATAGCACAGTTCTTTATTGCAAATTTACATCAAATATTTTGTCTGAGTTCGAATCCAATCACAGATGTAGTTTTAATCCTTTTTTTAATTTTTGTAAACCTTTATTATTAAATTAATTTTAATAAAATTTAAATTGTTCACTCATTATATAAAAGTTTTTAAATTTTTATTATATCTTTTTGTTATTTCAATTATCCTTAATACGCATGCCACAGAACATCTGCGCATATATATATTATATTAGCTGTTCCTTTATAACGTGGTGAAAATTTGCTTGGTTCCTTGTTAAAGTGGTCAGGTTTGTTGAGTTCGATTATCATGAGGGGAAGTTACCTTTTTGACGGGGTGTAATGGAATTTTCGAATTTTCGCATTTTTGATGTTCCCTTTTAATAGTTTACATTTTAGCACAGCTAACATTTGCGCCTTCTCTATTTATTAACATTCTCTGAGAGTTTTATCAATATTGGCATTGTATCTTTGCTGGCATTATGCGACCGAAGCTAGATATTCAATCTTCAAAATTTGTGTGCAAATAAAAACAGCTCTATCAAACCAGAGAACGTATATCATAGAGAAGGTTATGGTGTGCCGATTGTCAAAATGTTCCTCTTGACGGAGGGTTACTCGCCAACTTAAGAGGATCTCACCACAAACAAATTATAAGCGGATTTCACCAGAATTTTACCCCTGTGGAGCGCAAAATAGCAAAATTGAGCATTTTGAATGTTTAATGAGAAAAATAATGCTAAATTAAATTTTAAGAAATGTACGCTTACAGATTCGTATATTTACAATGCGCAAACGACTTTGCATATAATTTTAAGATATTCTGCATATACAGGGCGGCTCAAGAATCGTGCTACAAAAACAACAATTTTATACAATTAATTATTCCTTCATGCTCAGCCACGAATATGCGACACCTAATTAGAAAATTAATGCGGGCTGAAGGGTTGAAGTCGGGATTGCCTCAAATATGTATTTAATGGACTGCTTCAGTTCAGTCAGACTCCTGGGTTTGATTTTGTACACTTCTTGCTTGATATAACCCCATAAGAAAAGACCCAGCGGTCGCAAATTTTCTTATACATATAATATATGTATATAGCAATGAGTGGCATGAAATGTATTTAGACATCAATTGCTTAACATTAGAAATGTGCAGTCTCCATTGGCAATGTTGCTAGCAATTCGGATTTTTAGCAATCTTTAATTGCCTGTCAAATTGCCCCGTAATCGATTCAATAAGGGCTTAATCGAGTACACAATTTTATTTTCACAATTATCTTAATTATTCATTAATTAGCAACAAAATAATCATACTGTTTAATATTTGCTTATGAATTTGTTAATAATGAAGACAAAATTGCTTAAAAAATTACTTTTAGCATATTGTGTGCATGTTGAACATTTTGAGTCAGTACAATCTAATTATGATAGTGTAATAACACTATATAGGAGAAGAAAAAGACGAAACTTGATGATTTTACAACATTTAAGAAAAAAACAACTTTTGTGCCTTGAAATATTACAGCAAACGGCATCCCAAAGAGCTTTGTGGAAATTGGTGAAACAAAAGACAATAGAATAAATGTTTGTTCTTAACTTAATAAGTCTTCATTTATTACAGAAACGGCGATCTGAATTTTGGGAAATAAATTGTAATCGTAATAATGACCAATTTTTTAAGGAACATTTCCGAATGTCCCGTGCTAGTTTTGATTTACTATGTGGATTGCTTAACAACATGAAAAGAGCAGACACAAATTGGCGTAAAGCGGTAGCATTACCAAAACGTATTGCTATTGCGTTGTTTACCCTGGGTTCTTCCGTAAAGTACAGAGCAATTTCTGAAATATTCGGTGTTGGGATATCAACTGTGTGCGCAATTGTATTTGAGTTCTGTGAGGAAGTGTGGAAAACTATGTCATCATACATTAATAAATTACCTCCGAAAAAAGAAGATATAGCTGGATATATTTCTGGATTTTGCAAACTTGGTTATCCTCAGTGCATAGGTGTAATTGGTGGGAAATATACAAATTTGCCTCCTATCAATGTAAGTTTGTTGATATGCTTTTAATGTTATTGTTATTCTAGACGGGTGCCATATAAAAGTGAGGCCGAATGAAACTATAGCTAAGGAATACCTAAATAACAGAGGCTGGTACTCCATTATTCTTCTAGCGTTAGTAGATTACAGGTTTGAGTATTTATTTTAATATAATATATAATATTACATATAAAAAGATATTATTTACCTCTAATTCTACAGATGCCGCTTCCTATATGTTAACATTGGTGCTCCAGGGCTATGCAATTACGCACAAACTTACAACGCATCGGCACTACGACTTTTGTTAAATAATAATGATTTATTAACAGGATATAAAAAGGAAATAGATGGAGTGCAAATACCAGTGCATATTATAGGTGACTCAACGTTTGAGTTTTCCAAGTCTTTAATGACACCCTACCCAAATGACATTTCTTTAACCGAGAGTCAAAAACAATTTAATAATAAGCTATTGGCATGCAAAGGAATAGTAAATAACGCTTTTCGTCATGTAAAAGCACGTTTCCGACGTATAGGAGTCGGTATAGACAATAGAAAAGGGAATGCTCCACTTATTATTCGAGCCACCTGTATTTTACATAACTTTCTCAACGAAATAAATGATGACATGGACGAGAAATGGTTAGAAATACAGCAAATGGATACAAATCGCCAGAATCCTACAAATACTGTCGTTTATTGTGATGACGAACCGTCGGTCGAAAAGATAAGACATACGCTGTGTCATTATTTCAGTGAAAGATAGTAAATATTATACTTCTGCTATGTACTAATCTCTAAAAACTAAAAATTTCAAACTCTGATAGATTAATCTGAAATTTTTACATTTTTTCGGAGAGCACGAACACGAATAAGAATTTCACCCAGTTCAACAGCTGGATAAAAAATATGTGTGAAACAAATTTAAATGATTGCTGGAGACAAAATAATGACAAAAAATTCTACGCAAATCTTCAAGGGAATTTATGTTTTATAGCTTTATTGATATTGCCATTCGCAAAAAAAATTATTTTCTTTGGTCTTTTCGCCACAGCAAAAAAAAAATTTTTGTTTTTACCATAATACTTTATTCATCTCAACTCCACAGAGTAAAAGAATACCCATTGTACGCATTAATGTTGTCCTGTAGGTTAGAAGATGAACCCAGGGTAAACAAAAGTCATCATTTCTGTTAAATGAGTTTCGTGATTTAAAATACAATATAGGCTGTGTGCCAAACGGTAGAAAAATTAAAATTTTGATTTTTGACGTTTGTCGCGGTGAATCCGAATGTTAGAATTTTGCTCAATTCCCGAGCTAGAAATAAACAAATTTAAAAGAACCGCAAATATGTTATTAAATATGGTATGTTATTAATTAGTAATTATTCATTTGCTTATGGTATTATTTGTTCCATTCGATACAGAAATGATACTCTAAATTAGGAAACTTCTTGACTTTGATTTTTTATTATATAGCCGAAATTTTGCAAACTAAAGTTAAGATGAAAGAATTAAGTAGAAATAATATTTTTAGAGAATTCTACAACACTCCTTATTAAAAAATCACAGTAATCCACTTGATATACCAGGGGAATCGCATATAAAATTTGGCTTGAATTTACTTGTATATATAAGCATATATGCTTACTTTACAGATTTATATCACATTATCGACTGAATAATGACGCATTTGGTTGTTAAGTTACGTTTTGTGAATCCTCTTAAAATATCTGGACTTTTTCCATAAACTCAATAATTATGACATTTTTAAACCCTGAACAGGGTACATTAAGTACACCTAAAAGAAAACGCTAGAGACCCATAAAATAAATACATTATGATCAGCATGATGAGCTTTTGAGTTATTGTCTATAACAAAATGGAATCTCCGAAGAAATTGTTTAGACCAGATCACTATATCATATAGCTGCCATATTAACTGAACGATCGGAATCAAGTGCTTGTGTGGAAAACTCTTTAATTTCACCAGGTATCTTCACAAAATTCGGCACATGTTATTGTCTAAGGCAACAATGTAATATCCGGAGAAATTGTTCAGATCAGATCATTGTATCATATATATGCCATACTAAGTGAACGACTGGAATCAAGTTCTTGTAAGGAACCTTTGTATTTGTGAAGGGTATTAAAGCTGCGGTGCAACCGAAGTTAACATTTTTTCTTGTTGTTTTATTCTTATGTTTTCCCCTATGGAAATAAATTGTAACAAAAATATAAATTAATTTTTTAACTTACATTTCAAATCTGTTAGCGACTGTCCTCTTGCTTTGTTTCTAATAACAAAGCCGATAAAATTGGTTTCCGTGACACTCAAAACCGATACAATTTCTGTTTCGCCTCTTTCGAGAACGCCTCAAAATTAACGTTTTTTTATAACATTTTCCATTGTAGCCAGATCGGACAAAATAATAATTTTTGGGAATTTAAATTAATATACCCGACAGTTTTTAGGATTAAATATTATTATACCTGTATTCGTTTAATATATGCAGATACTCTTTAAACCTTTTTTTTTGTGATTTTGCAATGTATTAAAAACTGATGTTTGAACTTTCAATACTTAATCAAGAGAATAAATGTATTAGCTCTCTATTAATAAATGTTTTTTTTTATAATTTTCAATGAAAATCATACTACTAAGCATGGCATCGCAAAATATTTCATCACATACATTTCAATTTCGAGTTTTCATTTTAATTTTCTTCCAATTTTTGTTAGTGATCTCCAACAGCCGCAACAAATCTCTCTGTTCACATATTTTTTTGTAGGATTTCAATCTTGCCGTCCTTCCTTTTCCAATTGCTAAACGTCAGACCTCCTGAACTTTGACAGTTGCCTGAGTTCAGGACGTTTTGACGTTTAGTAAGTGCGCTCTGATTTCTCATTATCTCTGCCGACAACTATCAGATTCTACAACACCCCTGATATCTTACTTTTAATTTTTTCGTTGTTTTTTTCTTGCAATAAAATAAAAGCTAGCGGAACTTATTGTAAACTTAGTAGACTTTATTCATTATTTTAAATTTATCAAACGCTTCCAAATTCCAAACAGCTGATTCGGATATTGGTTTCGAATATATTCTGACAACTAAGCAAATCTGTCTTGGATTCCACAACACTCCTGAATATCTTCCTTTTAATATTTTCGTTGCTTTTTTCTTCCAATAAAATAAAAGCTAAAATAGCGGAACTCATTGTAAACTTTTGTAGACTTTCTTCAGTATTTTAAGTTTATCAAGCAAAGTTTTGTCAAGAAGATGTCGAAAAGACACCATTGACAATTACAGAAATTTGTCTTGGATTCCACAACACCCCTGATAATTATGTATGTACATATGTGTACCGAATGTAGTAGCCTAGCACGTTACCTATAATTCTCAACTAATAACAAATTTTCAAATTAATTAAATTTTTCTAGTTTTATTATATAAGTATATGGTTATTTGCTTTTCTTTTAATTCATTTTACGAATTTTAATTTAATAATTTAAATAACAAGGCAAAAATTCAAACGACGCAATTGCGTTTGTTTTGAACTTTAACTGTCAAAATTTGACTTTCCATTGGGCATAGAAAATTCTTTACACTATAGGAAATTTTTACATAACAACTCTACACAAGGAAAAATGTTACCGTTTGGCACATAGCCATATTACTTATGTATATGTTTTAATTTATAAAACGTGATATAATTTGTATTTGCCACATCATAATATAATATTGTTTTTTTTTGTATTACAGACGAGTATTAATTTATGCCACGAATTGGAAAATTAAATAAATTGGTTATGTACATACATTTATACATGCTACAATCGTAATAATAATTAACATATGCAACTAAATAAAAAACATCTTAACACCAGCTCAATCCCATATAACGCATTAAATTTTACATAGAGGATGGTACAAGAGGGGTTTATAGGAGCTGGTGTCAAGATTGGACGATGGGCATGGCACCTTCCATCTTTAGGTGAAATCACATACCTATCTTCGGATCTACTTGGTCAAATTCAACCAAACTGGGTAGGTAACATTATCCTTACATTTCTATGTTTTGGTTTCGGCGCACAACTTTAAATTCCTTCTGATAATAACTTCAGGTATTGGCAAAACTTTATATTAAAATCGTTTCCAAAGAATTCAGTATTCATATGCATTGTTCGACGAAATCGTTAATAAATTACAATCAAATTTGTTTTCTTATTATACTCCTACTAACGTACCCAGCCCGCCGGACTAGATTTTGCTTTATTTTTCTTAACCAACAAAATTACAACATTAAATATTTAATTTATCTCTTAAATATATTAAATTATTCAATTATCTTCATATTTATTTTCTTCTATTCTCTTCTTGAGCGGGTGAAGATTATTAGCTACACCCATATACATGTTAGTAAATAGAATATCATTCATATCATTGATACAAAAGCTATCGGGCATCGGGACAATAAAATATAAAATGTAATTATTTTGTATTTAATTAATATAATAATATAATAGTACGTGATAAATAAATTCGATATATATAAGATAAAGTACTTTGATAGTTATTTAAAACCATTAAAAATTTCATCAGATGTAAATGACAGATAGTCTTTTGTTTCTATTTTTGAATAAAAAAAAGCGAAGATAAATTAAATTAATAGAACAAAAAACTAGTAATTATAAAAATATACAACATGAGCGATGACCACTTCACACAGCAGACTCATTAGTTCGTTAAAACTTATCTTGAGGCGAGTGGGTAGACTACATTTTTCGTTTTTTCATTTGGAGTATAAACGTATACGATTTTAGATGTGCCGACTCGGGAGCAAGCGACATACAATTGGCCGTGTGAAAAACACCAATTCTCCACATTTAAACCGGCGATAGTCAACGATTGATCTTGTGCTTTGTTGATAGTTATTGCAAAAGCAAGACGCAAAGGGAATTGGAATCGTTGGAATGGTGAATCGTTGGAAATGATCGGTATTCGTGGAATCAGTACCTTTAGAATTTACCACCGCCTTAGAATTTACCACCGATGATTGTGGCTTCGATTAAATTCGGTGAAATTTTTTTTAATGTTAATCTGGTTCCGTTGCATAACTTAGGTGCGTTTAAATTGCGAATTAGCATTATGGGTGATCCAATTTTCAATTTTATTGTGTGTGGCGGCATTCCAGGTGGCTCCAATGAGTTTAAAAATTCAACTGGATAATTAACAGCTTGTTCTTCGTCCATTACCGTGTCGATTGACTTGTAATTGATTTCTTCGCCGGGAAGTTTCAATTGAATTTGATCATTGAGTTTGTTAACGTCATCATTTTTTGGTGCTAAAAATGCGCGTTCATAAAGCCAATCCGAATTTTTGTAATTAATTGTTAAATTTGGAAATACTTTGTCGACAACAGCTTGAATATTTGGTTGCATTTGACAAAGAATAAGAGCCCCTCCCATTGGTTGGTCATTTCCTCGAAAATCACGCAATGTCTTGTCAAGTCCTTCGAGTGATTTTTTATGGGCCATTGTATATTACCCCAAATAATAACTTTACTCGTTTTGAGGACTTTACCTATACCAGAATTTTTGCCAATATTGCAAGTTGGTGTTTCTGTTAGGTTTAAATTTAAGGGAAGTCTGAGTGCTGGATGTGCAGTGCGTCCACCATCCAAGAGCGTTGATGCAATTCCTGATGATGCCCCTGTGAGTACAATCCATTTCTGCATTTGAATCGGGTCAATAATGTCTTTCCATGTTGGATTGCACGTGAAAGTAATGAAGAGATTCGGTCGTCCGTACTTGCGCACGTAAGTCGTAGCATCTTGGGCGTACTCGTTCATATGTCGAGGACTGCGGGTATACGTTGCTGGCAAAATCACCATTTGGCCAATATTTGCAGGATTTCCATTATTATTAATCCCATCACGTAAGTGCATATATTCCTCGGTGCGTAGCTTTCGTTGATTCAACCGAATAAAGAGAAGACGTTCACTTTCAATTTTTGCGTGCATGTCGACCATGAATTGATGTAATAGTTCACGGCAATTCAACAAATGATTAAATTTATTTTGTGGAGTCGTAAGGCGGTAGGCATAAAAGATCATGTAAGAGACTTTTTTCGTTGACTCATTATTTACATTTAAATTTACTTGCATTACATTGAAATGGTAGCCATCTTCGCCACGTGAAAAAAGAACTGGATACTGTAATGCATCATATGATTGATGTGTTTCCGCAACGCGTCGAAGGTATTAATTTCGAAAATGGATGATTATATCGCGTCGCTCGAATTCTATTCCGACCCTAACTACTGCAACGTCGTCTTTTACCGGTGTATTGAATCGCTTATGCTCTCCGGGTGGTGTTTTGTCTGCTCTTATCACAACCTTATAATCATCTGTCGTCATCTCGTCTAGAGCTGTTTTGAATGAACGGATAAGGCTGTTGTGTTCATGAAACATAGTTTGAAGTTCTAAGACGATTTCTCGTCTTACTTCAGTACTGATTGCGCAACGCTGATCAGCTTTTGCTGCTTCATTATAAATGGTGAAATAAATTTGAAAAACTTGGGATCCTCATCTTGAACTAGGAGCAATGATCTAATTCTGTGGTAAATTTGATCTTGCACTTTAAAAGTGGGCATGTATCCGTCATTGTTCACTATGTTGCTCCAAAGGACGTCATTTGGAAGCATGAATTATACTTTCGGATGTTTTAAAAAATATTTGGAAGTTGGAGTGCGCTTAGAAATATAACTAAGAAGTGGTTCAGGTGGCTTCAACGATGGTGATAAAACAACTTTACCGTTCGAACAGCACATCCCCTGGTTCTTTCGCGAACTTCAAAGCACCACAATGTGAACAAACTTTGTTCGTTGCACCGATTCTTGTATTTCTGTAATCGTTGAACGCCGCAAGTTTTAAATTTATTCTTTTTCGAGATTGAGCCATTCGGTTACGATTGGCATCAAGTCTTTGCGTACGTTTTTGGATTGTCTCTGTAGCTCGCGATAAAGATTCCTTGTCACGATTTTGTTGAAGCCGTGATTCACGCTCTTCTTCAGTTTCCATATTTCTTCTTGTAGATATTCTATTATGATTTTTTCTCAAGGTGTAACTTACGTTCCTCATCTGCTTTATTTGCTATTTTTTCCTTAACTTTCTTTGATTTGGAGGTTTTTTTACCAATACTTTCTTTTTTTGGTGTCATTTTATTATATATTTATTACAATGATTCTGTAAAGAAACATGAATGGTGAAGAAAAATACAAATTTCCGTTGTAATAATCAATTTAAAACGCATCAGTAAACGAATACATTCGCGGCGCTACAACTTACCTTGAATTCTTAAAAATCCTTAATTATTTTCTTTTGGATTGTCTCGGTAGCTCGTGATGAAGATTCTTTGAAATTTGACAGTTCAAAAAGAAAAGTACTCCGATCGTCACCAAACTTTACAGGATTACTCGTCAGGGCAATCTAAAGATTTCCTGAAAGTTTCATTGAAATCGGTCCAGCTGTTTCGGAGCCTATTCGGAACATATATATAGAAGAAGAAGATACTTGTAGATTACGGTTTTCAACTCCACTAAGTTGAATTAAAGTTGGAGGAATTCTACTTCAGATCAACCCAATTCGTTTTTGGTATTACGATTTTCAGCTGTTTTCAGTCGAAGTTTGGTGTTATTGCCAACCTAAAAATTAAAATTTGACAGATAAATAAACATTTGAAAATTTTTAAACAAAAATCAAAATAATTTAATTTAGTTATTGCTCAAAAAAAACTATGAATAATTATTAAAAACGACATTAGTTTTGATTTATATTATGATGACCAAAATGTTGGGGCCAAAACTCATGTGCTGCGCGTAAGAAAAAGCCTTTGTGATCACTCAAATCCATTCGAACTTCCTAACACCATGTAAGCCAAATTTTTATTGACAATTAAATGGCTTCTAAGTAATGTTTATTGCAGATTCAAAAGTTATTTTTTAATGAGGAATCATTTTGTTATTAACTAAATGAGATGAAGGAACATTACCACAAACTCGCGATTTCCTTGCTGCCGGTAGTTATGAAGAATGCATTTTAAATGATTTTAACTAGCCCCAAGTTACCTACGATATTTATGGTTGTTACAAAACCTGCTTTTAAATATTATGAATACCATATTAGTGCGCTGTGGATAAAACACCAATGACTGAAGAGAATCAAAACGCTTCAAAATCGAATTTTAATTAAAACAAGTAAGGAAGGGCTAAGTTCGGATGTAACCGAACATTTTATACTCTCGCAAAGTCAAATGGTATACTCGTTTGAGATTTCTTTGTGTATTGACTGATATTTTCGGTAGAAGGTCAACTATAGGCACTGGGGTCCACATATTTAGTACTTAGGGGTTTGAACAGTTTTGGTTCGATTTAGACAATTTTTGGCCGCAAGGTGGCATACTTTAATTGCATTATTCACGCAAAGTTTTACGCCGATATAATCATTGTTGCTTGATTTGCATAGTGGAAAGTGAAAGTATCAAGTGGTATTTAAAATGGTGTCATATGGAAAATAGGCGTGGTTGAAATCCGATTTCGCCCATTTTCGCACTATGACATAGAAACATGAAAAGAACGTTACGCACCGAATTTGGTTGAAATCGGTTAAGCAGATCTCAAGATATGGGTTTTCACCTAAAAGTGGGCTGTGCCACGCCCACTGTCTAATTTTGAACGCGGTTCCTATAAAGTCATCTTATACCATCTCAGAGATAAAATTTAATGTCTCTGGCGTGTTTAGTGCTTGATTTATCGCGCTTTTAGTAGTTTTTAACAGTACCGTTATATGGGGAGTGGGCGGAGTTGCCACCCGATTTCAACTATTTTCACACCGTCAATAGAAGTGCTAAAAACATTTGCTTCCAGTGAATTTTGTTATTATAGCATTAGCGGTTTAGGAGATATGCACATTAAACCTATTAGAGGCGGGACCACGCCCACTTTAAAAAAAAAAATTTTAACTGCAGATGCCCCTCCCTAATATGATCCTGTGTACCAAATAACAGTCTTGTATCTTATTGCGGAGCTTAGTTATGGCAAGTTATTTGTTTTTGATTAATGGCGTTTTGTGGGCGTGGCAGTGATCCGATTACGCCCATCTGCAATACCAACCGTCTCACGGTACCATGAAACATGTCTACCAAGTTTCATAAAGATATCTCAATTTTTACTCAAGTTAGAGCTTGCACGGACGGACGGACAGACGGACGGACGGACAGACAGTCACCCGGATTTCAACTCGTCTCTTCATCCTGATCATTTATATATATATAACCCTATATCTAACTCGATTAGTTTTAGGCGATACAAACAACCGTTAGGTGAACAAAACTATTATACTCTGTAGCAACAGGTTGCGAGAGTATAAAAAGTATATTCCTAGGAGTAGTAGATTGTATCGACTCTTTATGTTCGTAACACTTTCCGCGATCCCTTTATTTTATTTTAATGTTTCTAAATTGTAGCTTATCGCATATAGGGTCGAGATTTGCTTCACGAGCCATCAAATAAATGAAAACTATGATATTGATGCTTACCATTCAATGGATTAATCATTTTGATATTGAAGTGATATCCATCGTCTCCTTGCCAAAACATCAGCGGGTATTGTAATTTGTCATATGAACGGTGTGTTTCATATATTTTTTGTAGTTGTCCAGTATTGCGTCGTGTAAGTACAATATCATGTGTTTCCAAGTTTTCACCAACAATCAAAATTGCTACTTCATCGATTGTTGGAGCATTAAATGTGCGTTCGTGTGTGCCAGCTGGTCGTTTATCTGCTCTGATCACAACTTTATAATTATCACTTGGCATGCGCTTTAATGCAGTCTTGAACAGCCTGACCAATGCATGATGTTCATAGATCAGTTGCTGCAGATCTTGGAGAATTGCTCTTTTCATAGCTGTGTTGATCGCTTGACTGTCAAGTTGTTCTTCCATATTGCCCATGAAGTATATTTGCTGGAATTTATGCAATGATCCAATGCGATGGTAAATTTGACATTGAATCTGTAAATTCAAAGGCATAGTTAGATTTACAATCATTTTTGTTTTTAAATGGTAACATTAAATTTTTGTTTTAGAGACAAATACAGAAATCTAACAAACTACATTCCAACAATTTTTTACCATCACAGAAAATAAAGTATTTAACATAAATTACCTTAAATGTCGGACTATATACGTGTTCTTCGACAATTTCTGCCCCAAATGAAGTAATTTGAATTGTATTTTTGAGTGTTTTCTAGAAAATTTCGTGATTATCCGTTCCGTTGCCTAATTGCATTACGGTTTCGCTGGGAAAGATTAGATCTTCTAGGACGCGGCCTTGTTATGAATAGTAATACTGAATATGTACTCGCACAAAACCACACAAAACAAACAAATTTACTCTTTGCAAACAAATTTAAAGAGTACCTGAACTTCCGAGACAGAGACAATAGTTTAGATAATAAAATACTACTTTGGATAGTGCACCTTTTAACCTTAATAATTATTAATCTTAGAAAAATCACAGACAACATAAGACATTTACTTTTTCGTTAACATATTTCGATTGTTTTCGAGAATATAAACTTGAATTTACACAAAATTAATTTATGAACGCACGCGTAAACATTAACCATTTGTCATTATTTCTGAACGCATGTCAACCATTACTTATAATATTTGACAGGATGGACAACAAATGTTTGGCAGGTGCGAAACAAAGTAACATTTAGGGAAAATGATTCATCTTTTATAATTATGTTTTCGTCGAGTTTTCATTATTTTTAAGATGTATTCTGCTATTCGAGGCGGGAACAAATTCAACGAACCAAAAACCATGAAAATTGGTATAGCCGATCTCGAGTTATAAGTGTTGGAACAAACCCGACTTTGTTTTATATATAATATATAGATAACTCACCCATTCATCGGCATAACGAAAATCATTAGATATAGTATATAGGAGTCGGCGTAATTCGTAGACCAGATTTCACACATTATCGGCATTAAACAATAGAATATTCAATATTATTCGTTCTGTTAATTTTGCTGAGATATCTACATATTGACCAATATATACGGTATAAAGCCAACCGGATCTTTGAACACTTTATGTTAGGTATATGAAAGATAGGGGTAGTGACCCGATTTTATAAATTTTTGGCTTTATTAAAAATTAAAAGAAACTTAAAAGAAAGAAATGCTAATTTAGTTTCATTAAAGTTCTTCACATACAATTACCAATATATAAGGAGGAAAAACAACCAGATGTTTGAAAATCCTGATATTAGTTATATTGGGGCTAGGACAAGTTTTTCCCCGATTTTATCCATTTTTGGCACAAAGATGAATCGTTATTAGAAAATCAGGCTCACTCAGTTTTTTTAAGATATGTCACATGTTGATCGATATATACGGTATAAAGTAAACCGGAAGTTCAAAAATCTAAGAATATAGAGCTAATTTGATTGTTGACCCGATTTTACCCTCTTTTGACCTAAGGAATGAATTTCAATAATATACCTCGGAGTTCTACCGATATTTTGGAGAAAAAATAAAGGCACAATTTTGATACCGATTTTTATGAAGCCTTTCCGTACCATTTTGCGTATAAAATTAAATGTCTCAGACGCAATAATTTTTTTAGTTATCGTTCTTTCAGTAATTTTCAACATTACCCATTTTCTCAATACATGAAGTACTGGAGTTACCGTTAGTTGAACAATTTTAATTTTTGAGAGTAAGTTACCTCTTTTATAGCGAATTGAACTCGGTAACTTTATTGCTGCTTTTACACGTGAATTTTTTGTCAAATGTGCAGCGTGTAAATATAGTGAACAGAGAAGTGGTGAATCGAAGACGGCTAATAATTCTGTGCCATCTGTGCTATATATTGTACATATCTAAATATTAAATTCAGTTTATATAATATAATATACTCCTAAAAAACTGAAAAAAGAGGTTAAAAAATAGTATGATAAGAAATCGAATATACCAGTGGTTCTTGATGACTGTAAAGCAAAAACATAAACTACTGACCTATCGCAAACACTACTATGGACATTATAAATTTTTCAAATTTATAGATTAGCATATAGCTGTTACTGTGCGTTTTTCGGGTGGAATCCAGTTGTTATAAAAGTATGTACACGCAGAATTAAGTGCAGTGTTAATATTTTAAATCAAAAACAATTTTTGAGTAAAACAAAATAAACTTAACTTTTGGCGCGAGAAACAAAAAACAGCTAATCACATCAAAAACGTGTCAGCCTACAAGTATGTAGCAATTTTCTCCTGCTGCAATTGCTGGGGAAGAATAGAGCTGCCAAATAAAAAATTAATAATAAAAAAAAAACTGAAAATCACCTAGTTTCTAAAAATGCCTGTATACTCCTCCCAAAAACAAGTTAAGCTTGATCGGTATTGGTTAAGTGTCCCACAGAGGATAGGTTTTCTTCTTTAGAAATTCAAGGAGCAAATTAAAACAAAGTATCGTCCCAAGAAAAAATCCCCAAACCACCACCAATATATGTTGACAAAGTGAGCAATATCACACTAATGTAGGTCCTAACTAAAACTTAAAGTTCATGTAACTTCAAACTTGTTAATAATGAGCAAGTTAAAATACAGGCAGTATAGTAAGTCAGCTCGAAGAAAAGAACACTGCACACTACACATACAAGCCAAAACAAGAGTGGAGAATAAGAAGAATAAGCACCCTTCCATAAACCCTGAAGAAATTTCAGATGAAATAAAAAGTTTAGGTCATACCCCAATAAACATTTAGATCATGAAACATAGAAAAACGAAAAACCCATTACCAATGTTTGTAGTCGAACTTTAGGGGAGCTCAAACAATAAGGATATTTACGAAGAGAAATATCTCTTTAATACAAAACTTGTATTTGACCACCCTCGCCCAAAGCGTGAAATCTTGCAATGCTCAAATTGCCAACAATATGGGCATACAAGAGCCTATTGGCACAGAATACCTGTGTGCAAATAAAGAGGCTGTATGGTATATAAAAACCTAGCGGAGGTGACTACAATGCGATTTTTCAAATTTATAGATTAAAGGGATCCCGTTTCATTACGCCCAAGAACAGACAACTCAATACGGCTATAAAAAAGTTAAAATCACCTTACATGTAGTTCATGCTAAGAATTATCATCTGATCACTCTCCTGTTTAAATCACTATAGATAAACACATAGCTGACCCATCCCCTCAATGCCGTTTACACAAAAAAAAACTTATTGGAGTTACTTCCGAAAATCAGTGTCTTCAACAATTACCTTAAAGCTACTTCTGAAAACAAGCGAAAACATTATTGTAGCTGTCGAACATTTCAATAGCTGTGTCCAACAAGTTGCATCGACTTCGACACTCGGACCCTAAACTCGCTGAACTATATCAATGTCGCCGTATATCTCGTACAGCTCATCGTTCCATCGACTACGGTATTCGAAATTGCCAAAGCGCAAAGGACCATAAGTCCGCAAAACTTTTCTCTCGAACACTCCAAACGCCGACTCATCAGATGTCGCATTGACGATGCCTCCGCACCATAAAGCTGGACGGAAATGATTAGGCCTTGTAGAGTTTTGTCTTTGTTCGTCGAGGGAGGACTTTATTTTCAATTGTCTACTCAGTCCAAAAAATGTTAGAACCAGCTGCCAAGAGTGATTCTGCGATGGATTTCAAGGTTTGGCGTGTGAGCCAAGTCGCGAATGCGATGACTGTTTGTTTAATGACAGAAGATATTTTGTATTGTTTTCGTTCACAATCAGACCCATACGCTTCGCTTCCTTATCTAGTTTGGAAAAAGCAGAACTAACGACGCGGTTATTGAAGCCAATATATCAATATCATCAGCGTACGCCAGCAGGGTATACTCTTATCGTATTATTTTCTCCAGCAATAGATTGAAGAAGTCACATGATAGGAAGCCTTCTTGTCTGAAACCTCGCTAGGTATCGAACGGTTCGGAGAGGTCATATCCGATGCTGACGGATCTCTTGGTGTTGCTCAACGTCAGTTTATACTGCCGTATTAGTTTTGCGCGGTTGCTAACTTCAGACATAGTGGGATAGAAGCAGCTCCTTCTCGTGCTGTCGAAGGTGGCTTGATAATCGACTAAGAGGTGGTGTGTGTCGATCTTCGCGGGTCTTTTCCAAGATTTGGCGCATAGTGAAACCTGATCGATAGTAGTAGTAGGCCTGGTCTAAAGCCACATAGATAAGGTCCAATCAGTTTGCTGACGGTGGGCTTTAGTCTTTCACACACTACGTTCGATCGGACCTTATATGCGATATTAAGGTGGCTTATCCCACGGTAATGGGCGCAGATTGTGGGATCCCCTTATTCTTCGCCTCCGTATTTGAATAGATCGACCCGTCCGTCGGCCCCTGCTTCTTTGTTGTTCTTCAGACGGGTAGTTTCTATTCGAACCTCTTCATGGTCGGCAATGGAACACCTATTCAATCTCCAGATATTACACTTTCACAACACTTTCAGCAGGCTGGAGAAGTCCCTCCATAACTTCAGTATGCACAGAGTCATATCAACGGCAGATGTGATATATAGAGAAATGAATGCAGCAGTGGGTGCATTTTATATAAGATTTACATTATTATTTATCTGTATATGCAAAAAACTTGTTTAATATATTATATACAGCGGGCAATAATAAATATCAAAAAAAAATTATTACACAGTGTTTACGAATTTGTATTGTCAACACTCTAAATATTTCCGACAGAATTTTTTTTTAAACTTGTTTGGTTTTATGTTCACAAGCTTGAGCTGTCATGGGGGCTCACTTTTCTGGCTTGCAGAAAAAATATTCTTCAAAGGGGTTAAAGAAGTTGGGACATCGTTGGGTTAAGTGTTTAGAGCTAAAATGATACTAAGTTAAATGCTAATAAATAGACATTTTTCTAAAATCTTCGGTTTTCTTTTGTAAGTTAAATATTTATCGCACCGCCCTCGAATAATAGTTTTCAAAAATAGAGAAGTTTAGAAAGAAGAAGCTCGCTCCGTTCGCCATCGGCTGCCAAAGTATCATAGTGCAGCTAGCAAAATGAAGTGTAGCATATTGCCTAGTTTCTGGTGACCTTAGTTGTTGCTGATAATGAAAGCACATAGAATCTACTAAGTCATCGGAAATGTTTAAAAACATAACTTGAAACATACTGTAGTGTCGAAAATAGGCCCAATCAATCGATAATTCGATAATCATTATTCTAGTATAAAGTTGACAAAGATAAATACATCGGCAATTGTGTAAGTTATCTTAATAAAATTCAGTGGAAAGATTTTGTCGAGAATGCTTCAGTTCAATGCCAAAAGTAAACGACGTCAGTATATTCTTTATCTCTAATCTACCTAATAGAGGGATTTTGATAACACGGTTGATTGGCATGAAATTAAATTTTTTACCACAATTTAATTTAGCAAGAAAAAAATTAATGAAATCGGTCCATACCTTGTTCTATTCAATATTCGGTATTATTACATATTCCTTAATATGTGAAATATTATAGTGGTATTTTTTGCGGAACTGTTCCCGCCGTGGTTTGTCTAGATTCATATTTGAATCGTATTTTCAACGCATAATAAAATAATCAGACGAAAAATCTACCATATGGTGTAAAGTTCGGGTTTTAGCATCGAAATATTAAATCACGTGAATAAGATATAACTCAAGTCCAATTTGTTGTAGTATACGAGTATAGTAGGTATATTCATATTGACAATTTTTACTTTTTCACTAGTTGAAATGAATTGGTATAAAAAATATGTTTTTATAAAACAAAAAAAAAACAGGCATACTCTACAATTAATATACAAAATACTTTTTTCGATTGTAAATATTTGCAACTGTTGCTACGAAACCTCTAGGAATGTTATGTAATATTTAATAATATATACGTTTTTATTCATCGGGACTTTTTAACATGTTTTTTTTATATTTGGTGAATTTGCGGAAAGTAGTTTTGGCTAAGTGTAAAATCACTGATATACACTTTGCGCATGGCAATAGTATAAATACTATTTAAATGAAAATAAAAAAGTTTTTGGCTGAACTTAAGCTGTCAAATGGTTATTTTGTGTCATACATAAGCATTACCAAACTTCGTTTTTGTATTTCATTAAATTTAGATAAGGTTTTTAATATAAGAAATGGCGTATCTTAGAAAGATGCAGGGACAATAACTGCGAGAAAGGTAATTTAACGGTAAATAATATTTAGTGTCTATTTTTACATATCAGCGAAACAGTATATGCTCATTTTGTAAAAACGCCGATCTTTAAGCGTAAAGAAAAGTGGATTTAAGTTTCAACAATTTCCGCCATATTTTCATAAATATCCACGTCTAGCAAAAATTACGTAGAATTAGTATGGTTTGAATCCCCACTTTCCTGAGCCAGTGAAATGCAGTGTAAAAGATGTATACACTTTCAAGCTATCGTAGGTAATCCACTATTGATTTTTCACGCGATTGTGATAGCATTATCAATTTACCAAATGAGGGATATGTACGATTTCATGTATTTCTGTCAATGAATAGTATGAATGTTTATCTAAAGTTTTTGCAAATTGCAATTTAAATTTTATTTACCAAAATTCTTACAAATGGCTTCGTCCTGACAATTTCAGTACATATGTCCACATTTCTAACAGACATATGATGATGCAAAACCAAAATATGTATATAATATGTGTGATTTAATATTTAATAAAAAAAAAATAAAAATAAAAAAATAAAATAAAATTTCATTTCAAAGGTCTGAAACTAAGACTAAAAAGGGTCCCAAAATTATTTCTAAAACTCTCCTTCTGTTTCGGGGCGGCTTCATAGGAGTCTATATCGAAATTGGACAATGGGCATAGCACCACCCTTTTTAGGTGAAATTCCAAACTTTAGGAACTACTTGACCAATTTCAACCAAATTTGCCACAAATGGACAAAATCGGGTCAATACTTCTCCTATTCCCCATATACCTAATAAAACAAAGTTCGAACTTCCGATTGATCTTATGTCGTATATATCGATCAGTATGTTAGATATCTTAGCAAAATTAATTATTTTTTGATATTCTTATTCAATATATGATTTCCGACTTTTTGGATAACTTTGAACCCGATATGGACTTTCCATCTGACTTTAAACCGTTTATGTTGGTCAAGATGTGTGATATTTTAATGTGAATAGGTTTTCTTAAACAAAATTAGATTTAAAGCTGAATATGAATGAAATTAGTCTAGATATGTGTCTAAACGTCTCTGTTGACTTTTTCCTCATATAACCAATATATAATAGGAACATTAACCTCTCTAGTTAAATTTATATCACATTTATTTATTCATTGGAATGTCAATATAAATATTTGGGATACGAAGCAATATGTGGTAACGCAATATGGATTATATTACCAATTGATTGACGATTTCTTTGACAAGAGAGTATAAAATGTTCGGTTACACCCTAACTTAGTCTTTCTTATTATAAGTACATATAAGTGATTGGTAAGACCTACTAATATATATGTACATTATTACAGGGTCATCATGTATATGGAGCACTATTTTAATTGATTTATCATGAGTAGTAATGAACGTAAGGAACAAGAAAGTAAACCCCCGACTTCCTTGGAAGCACCGAAGTCGACTAACTTGAAGCAAACAAAAGATGTTGAAAGTAAAACAGACACCAAATATGGTAAGGATATAAGCTTTGAGTTGCATAACTATGAATTGTTAGCTGAAGTTAAGTAATTTGTTTTACGATAATTTACACAGTTAGTATGAAAAACTTTAACATAAAGATGAAACAATTCGAATAGAAGCAGAATCTTTTAAACAAATTTAAAAATTTAATCTATTTTTTACACTTCTACGTATTAAAGTCAAGACTGGTTGGGATCATGAATGTTATTGTACTACCCATGATTCGGTCTGAACAAAGTATCTCCAACTATATGAATATTATTTTAGATACTCGTATTTGGTGTTGCTAAATCCATATTTACAGACAATGTTCTTATTAATGTTTTATATTTCAGATAGGTCCGCTTCCAGAGACACGCCGACCAAAACACTCCCCTCGAATTCGGATTCGTTGGAAATCACTAGTTCAGGACAGGCGAAGCCAGTTTCTATTCTTGATGATGGTGCCACAGATTCAGTGAGTTCGAGTACGTTGGCTTCAAAAGCAGCACTGAAGCCGAGGGAACCGATAAGAGTTGGTTTTTATGATATTGAGAGAACGATTGGCAAAGGAAATTTTGCCGTTGTCAAACTTGCACGGCACAGAATAACTAAAAACGAGGTAAGGGAAACGTATGACAGCAATGATTTAGTTGAAGTATTATTGGGATATTATTAAATCGCTTAAGTGAAACCTGAAAGTATTTGAGAAATTAATATAGCAGAAGTTTCTCTGTATAAACGCGATTGGCAATCGTTTGAAGGGAATCCTAAAGCCTTCGTTTAGAGAAATGGGCAACAAATGACGGAAAAACAAAATGCTTTGTTGAAATGGTGCATGGAGTTAAATTTATTTCCTCCATTTATAATATCCATTATACTGGTAGGAAAAATTAAATATTTCTCCTACTCCAAACTAGAAGACAACGCCTTGTTGTTACTAACATGAAATTGCCAAAATTTATATTATATTATTTATCACGATGAATAAAAACACGTTTCCAAGTACACAATCTCATGATGATATGTGAGGCGTAATGTGAATCAGCACCCTGCCTTACCTATAACTTACCGACTGTACATAATAGTTATAGTGTATAACGGTGCAGGAGGAGATCATATGGTAATGTTTCGTTCAACGTTCATCGAATGAAATTGCATAATCGATAGTGATTTTGCAAAAAAAGGCTTCTGTTAGAACTTTCTGCAGGAATAAACTAATAACTGTGCAAATTGTGACGTTTTGGGACTACATAATGAAATAGTGTTTCATTTTTATATATAAGACTAAGTTAGTACCCATTTTATACTCATATAAGTTTTCTCAAATAATATCGAAAAAATTTTAGACAGTTATCAAATACTTACCATATTGCTTCAGATAAACAGATAAACGGACCGAACAAGTAAGGAAGTAAGTTATGTATAACCGAATATTTTACACTCGCAATTTGTTAGGATCAAAGCAAAGGAAATACGTTTAGGTGTTTACAAAATTTTATACTAGAAAAAATTTAAACCGTGAATGAATTCCAATCATGTTTGGTATTTTAATAACTAATATTATATGGCATAGAGTTACTTAGTTTATTACTATATTTGCCTTCTTGTCTGCGGTATTTTATCAAAATCAACCTAGTTGACACAAATGAGACATGTACATATGTATATGTGTATAAACTCAACTAACCGGAAGTTCGAAAATTTTTGAATTAGGTATATGGAGACTAAGGGAAGTATTGATCGGTAACAAATATTTTCGGTAAAAAGTAAGCCATAGGCGCTGACGATTTCGATAAGTTTGATATGGCAACAAAGTTTGATATGGCTTTACTGGCGCTTGATTTATATACCGTATTCCGTAAAGTAAAGCGTCAGGAAAATATTATTCATTAACTTTCGTAAAAATCGTTTGTAAAAGATGCCCCTTAAAAGATATACAATATCCCAATTCCGCCCATCATGCAAATTTGTTATAGTACCAAGGAACACTTGTACCAAGTTTCAATTCCATTTTTTATTCAAGTTATCGCTTGCACGAACAAATCACCCTGAATTCCACTTGTCTTGTCATCCTGATTATTTATATACAAGTACGTATGTATATATATAATTCTATATCTATCATGATTACTTTTAGATGTTATAGACATCCGTTAGGTATAAAATCTATTATACTCTGTTGCAACATTTTCTGAGAGTATAAAATCACCACACAAGGTAAAGATATTTACATCTTTATTGAATTAGCAAATCGGTATGTTTAAGCTTAGTATTAATGTTAAGGGTATCTCTTACTTACCTATATGGCTGCTCGAAAATCTTTTATGTTTACGAATTGGACTTTGTGATTTGGATTCAGACCTTTTGGACAAAAAAATCCATGATATAATTTTTATCAAACCTGTTAGTATTGTAAATACATTCTTTTATTAAGGTCGCTATAAAAATAATTGACAAGAGCCAGTTGGATTCAATAAACTTGCAAAAGGTCTACCGTGAAGTTGAAATAATGAAACGATTAAATCATCCACACATCATCAAACTCTACCAGGTAATGCATACAAGTGTTTAATAAATATATATTAAAAAGCTGTATTAATTGTAATATTAATTATACGCCATAACGAAACAAAATAATTAACCTGAGCATACATAATGATATACGAGCATACTCCACCTATTCCCACCATAATATTTACATACCATAAATATACAGGGGTTCATTACGTCGAACTATGGTCACCAGAGTTATTCATGTGCATGGACATCAGTCCTGAGTAGTTTATAGAAAGAAAGAAAGAAGGATAAACAATAGAAATATAAATAAATAAATATAGTTCGTTACTTTATATTTTGGTCAAAATGTCATGAGAAATACATTTTTTGACACATGAAATGTCTATAAAAACCAAGTAGACCTCTGAGAGTGGATCTCTTAAGACTTGCGACATTACTTATGCTTGGTTAGTTCTGCATAAGGCAAGATATAGCTATTTCCATACGTGTATTCGTAAATGGGGATTTTCTAATTGAAGGAAATTGGTATGTGTGCGCATTAGTTGAACAAAAGAATAATCTTGAACTTAATTATTTGTATACATACTTGTATATATAAATTTGTATATAATTATAGTTACTTCATAGTATTGCTCTCGAATCCAAATAATAAGATATAGTAGTATTTTCTATTGAGCAATATGAAGAATATTTAAACATTGATAACAATTAAAGCAAAACAATAATAATCATTATCAAAACCAAATCTTGTTTATGAGGATGGTCATTATGAAATATAAAAAAATATATAAGATATCTTAATGAATGAAAATTTTCTCTCTTTTCTAATTTTTATAAAATAATTTCCAGGTGATGGAAACGAAAAATATGATTTACATAGTATCTGAATACGCTAGTCAAGGGGAAATATTTGGTAAGTAAATATCAGTGTGTATGTATATCAAATATTACATTATCTTAACATGTTGCTCACATAATAACGGTTCAACGGTTCAGATTAAATAATATGTTTGTTTCCATTTTTTTTACTAACAACGGAAATCGTAATTCTGAGCGCAATTCTCAAAATTTTTGCTCTATACCACTGCTTCCTGTTAAGGACAAAAGGATAGGCGCTACAGAAGAGCGAGAAAATTGTGATCAATATGAATTTAATGAACGAAATATATAGTTTTTAATTATTAAGTAGAGCCAAGTGATTTCCATTACCTAATTTTCTGTCATACAATTTTACTCATACTGTACTTTATATATACATAGGTATTTCTACAACTTGTAAAAATATCCAGCGACTGATTTCTCACGAATTTAACTCTTCCTTAATTTTTGTTATGATATATATTCGCAGATAAATTATAAATTTGAGCAGACATTAATACGCTTTCTATTCTTAAAATTTGTGGAACTGCTTTATGGTTCGGTTTCGGTTTTGTTCCGAATGTCCAATCTCTGTTCAAGATATATAGACAACCCATTTCGTAGTATTTAATTTATTACTCGAAACAATATTTATTCTTACTTGTATTAGTTTTATATATTTTGACCAACTAACCCGGTTGCGTGACATGAAACACACATTTAAAACTAGATTGAGTCATACATACATATGTTCAAGCCTTTTTTTTTGCAACTACAAACCATGTGGACAAAGTTTTAGAGCCGCTAGATACGAACCTTTCAGCATGATGGTATACGAGTATACATATAAAGTATAAAAAAATTTATTCAGAATAATCACTTCTTCTAAAAAAATGTAAAAGTTTTTAAAGGTATTTTAAGTGCTATAAATGTGGAAAATCGTTGGTCAATTGAAAATTACTGTTAAATTCGTATTTGAGTCGACCGATGTTTGGTGATAATAACAAGGATCATAATGGTTTGTAGCTGCAACCCTTTTTCTAAATTCATTGGCGTAATGCTATTAGATGCTATCTAGCTTTATCAGTGTTCAGATAAACATAACTGATGACCTTTTAAAAAAGCCGTATTTTGTTTCCATTTTCTTAGATTACATAGCAAAATTTGGAAGGATGTCTGAGGGCTCTGCAAGAAGTAAATTTTGGCAGATTTTGTCAGCGGTAGAATATTGTCATATGAAAAATATTGTACATAGAGATTTAAAGGTAAACTACTGAATTATTGCAGATCGGAAATACAATTGAAGCTTTTTCATTTTTAGGCTGAAAACCTTCTACTTGATATTAATATGAATATAAAAATCGCAGATTTTGGGTTTTCGAACCACTTTAAGGTTGGTGAATTGCTAGCAACATGGTGTGGATCACCTCCTTACGCTGCACCTGAAGTTTTTGAAGGAAAACAGTATACCGGTCCGGAAATTGACATATGGGTACTAATGTTAATTTTAATTACAAATACATCCGTGTGAGTGTATGCGTTTATTTAAACCAACCTTTACAGTCACTAGGTGTGGTACTATATGTTCTTGTCTGTGGGGCGCTCCCGTTCGATGGATCTACATTACAGAGTCTAAGGGACCGAGTACTGTCAGGACGATTTAGGATCCCGTTCTTCATGTCTTCAGGTGCATTTTTTTATTTACTCAGGGGGGTTGTAGAATCTGATAGTTGTCGGAATCAGAATTAAAAGCGATAAAAAATGTGTCATGAATTCAGATATTATTGCTTTGAGTGTCACAGAAACCAATTTTATCGGTTTTGTTATCAGAAACAAAGTAAGAGGATAGTCGCTGACAGCTTTGAAATGTAAGTTAGTTAAGAAATTAATATATATTATTGTTACGATTTAATTTATCTTTATTTCCATAGGGAAAAACATAAGAATAAAAAACAAAATGTCATAATTAAGTTTTGGAAAATATCCAGATATTTTAGGAGGATTTACAAGACGAAATAAATCTATAAAGCAAGCATGTATACAAGCATACAAGTAAATACAAACCAAGTTTCACATGGAATCGCATCCCTGGTGCAACAAGTGGATTACTGTGATCTCTTCATATCTTACTTTTAATTTTTTCGTTGCTTTTTTCTTCCAATAAAATAAAAGCTAAAATAGCATAACTCATTGCACACTTCAGACTTTATTCAGTATTTTAAATTTATCAAACGCTTCAAAATTTATTCATTTATAAGTTTTATCACGTTAGTGAACAGCTGATTCGAATGTTGGTTTCGCATATGTTCGAAAAGATGAAAATCCAATCAGTTTCTGACACACAATTGAAAATCAGAATTGGTTTGCAATTCTGACAACTACACAAAACGTCTTGAATTCCACAACACCCTTGATTGAGTTGTTTTTATAAATCTAAAATGAATATATTTCAGATTGTGAGCATTTGATTCGAAGAATGCTTGTTCTTGATCCATCGCGACGATACACAATCAATCAAATTAAAAGTCACCGTTGGGTTTGCGGAGAAGCTCGTGATACTGTTGCTATATCACAATGTAACGTTAATATGGATGGAACTTCAAGCATTGAACCAAATGAGGACATACTACGGATAATGTCGGAATTCGCTGGAATACCACCAGAAAAAACTAAAGCAAGTTTGAAAAAGAACAGTTATGACCATGTTGCGGCGATATATTTATTGCTTCAAGACCGAGTTAATAGTAAGAAAAATATGCAAGAATATTCCAAACGTTTAAGTGATAATACACTGCCACACATTTCATCAATGGGATATCATGGATCTTCTAAAGTACTACATAAAATTAGACCTTCGATCGATAAACAACGAGTCAAGCAAACGTATACTACAGTAAAAGAACAGACAATATCACCACTGCCAAACGTAGACGAAGTAAAATTTGGTAGTTTTCCAACGAAATTTTCCCAGAAAATCGTTGCAAATTGTGATAATACCCAAATCCATGAACATAATAAAATTTGTGGTCCCACGTCTATTAAAAACTATGACCATAAAGATGCCCAAATAAGCCAGTCATTAGCAAAAGGAAGACCGATACCTATTAAGATTTCTCGTTTAAGTCGAGCCAATATAAGTTCAAGCCAGCACCCAATAGCATCGCCATATAGTACAGACAATAAATTATCGACTGTTAGTGAAAAATGTCGCCAAGAGAATCTATTATCAAATGAACATATAAATGGTTTATTGGCTACGCCAAACATCATTAATGAGAGCTCGTCTCACCCGCTCCAGCAAAACTTAAGAGAGTGTATAATTAAGCAAAGCTCAGAGGATTGCCGTCTACTATTACAACAAGTAACTTTATAATCACAGTTCATAGATTTAACTAATCCTTCCTTTAGTAGTGTCGGAGTGCCTTTAACGCTATAACGACTTTTTGAATAATTTAAAATCATGTTTTCACATTGTTTTTATAGGCAACTGCCATTTCACAATCTAAGACACATGCTAATAGCGAAACAGAAATCGAATGCGATGTTCATATTGAACTTAAGAACGTAAAAGATGTAAAAAAAATGTCAAGCTCAACTAGTTTCGATTCTTCTTCTAGCGGGCAAAAAGCTAAGGCGAATTTTCATTTCAAAATGTCGGCAGAAGCAGCTAAACTTTTCCAAACATTACAAGAAAGTCCACTTCCCATAGAAGTGAGTATTAATATTTGTAATTTATCGTTATTAATTATTTTTTACCGGACTGAAAAAAATGATATTACTCTAATATATAATCTATATCTATAAAAGAAAGTCGTGTTAGTTACACTATTTATAACTCAAGAACGGCGGACCGATTTGGCTGAAAATTTGTTGGGAGGTAGTCTAAAACCAGGGGATGGGCATATTATACTTTTCAAACTATATTTCAAAACATAAGCATGTGCTCAAAATTCATGTAAGAATCATTTAAATATTTTATTACCTCAAAAAAATAATAATAATAACAAAAAAAAGAAAACACAGATACTGCAAGGGTACAGTAAGTTTCGTATACATATGTATATGGATTATACTGATTGTTGCTACTGAACGAGGCGGTTTTTTTAAGATGCAAAATGTGGAACCGGTAATAGATTTTAATATCACAACAGATAATCTCATTTGTCTGCAGTGTTGATAAATAGTTCAATTATAATTTGAGATGAGTGCATAATTGCTCATAAATATTCTCGAAGCATTGCACAGAACAATGCTTTAAACGCCAACGATGAAGATTTCGGTGGTGCTGTCTTACCACTGCCGATAGCCTAGTCATCCCTCGCTTTTTTTAAGCCAATGAGATTAACGAATGTTTAAGCAATGGCTCTTATGGTGAAGTGTTGAAACACTTCGATGGACCATAAATATGCGCACACAATAGCCAATTGATTTAACAGCACAAATATGTTCAAACAATTGCTAGATATTTAAAAATAGTAGAATAGAACTGCAGTCAAATATATGCCATTCAGACAATTTCTGCACTCCTGTTCACGAAAAAAATTTATTATTTGAGAGTATATTCATATATAATCGGGCTACATTGCGGTAAAAAATGTAGATGTTGATGAAATTAGTTTCCAGATACAACAGTTGTTGCCAGGTTATCAGAGTATATCATTCGCTACTGTTGTCAAAAAGAATACAGGAAATATTATTGTAGCATCCATTTTGACTGGAAAATTTAATAAAAAAATGGTCCTCTTACCACTTTTTTCAATGATATTGTTAGAATGTACGATACGAATGGGTTGAATTAAACTGAAAATATTAATAATTAAAAACTATAAATATTATTGTTAAAACTTTAGAATGATCTACCCTTTTTCAATATCTAAAGTGTTATCAACTAACTACCATTTATATTACTTATTTGTTACAAATTTGAATATAAAATTAATAAAATAAAAACTTCAACATCTTATAGTATCTCTTATGTTTATTTGTGTTTAATAACAAGTCTAAGAAAATTTGGATCAATCATTTTCAAAATTGGAAGTAATGTTCAAATTTTAACACCTTGGTCTACGGAAACAACGTTTTCGTTTTTATTCATAAACACAACTTTACTGCAATGAATAGTTTATAATTAATGTGCGTGGACGGGGTCCTCTAGTATATTATAAATAGTTCAGATTTTGTAAAGATATGGTGCATATTAAATTTGAAACTATACAATGAGACGTATAACAAAAGCTAGTGTATGGTGTGTTTTATTTAATTTTTCTGTAAAGCTTTATATTGTAATTGCTTTATTTTCACAAAATATGGTATACAAAATTTATAGAAATTCATAAAATTTTTATAATTTTTGTTTGAATACAAACACGTTTTAAACCATTTCTATCTGAAATAAAAATTTATTAATGTTTTAAAGAAACTGGAAACTACAGAGCCTGCATCTAGTAAATCAAATTCAGCCATAAACAGAAGTGTTCCCACAAGTGTGTCCAAAGCTCACAACGGTTGCACCTCAAAATCTTCTCAGACTGATTCCAAATGCAGGTAAGGATAATTTAATGATATTTCTTTTAGTATATATACGTAAATCAAGTGCTTGCAAATTATTTAAAGGAAATTTTGTAACGAAAAATGTGCATCTCGACTGAAGTCAACGAAAATAACCACCCAGTGCAGCACTAGTACTGACGAGGGTTGTGAAACAGACCACACAAATGAAATGAGAGGTATGCGACTACAAACCTATATAAGTAATTTACGAATCTACAAGTATTTGATGTATTGGTTTTTAATTTTAAATATTTTTTAAATCTTATGTTGATATTTTATCCTCTATATACAATTATATATCCAGTAATTATATACAATAAATTTTTCCGACACACAGCGTATTTTAATGTGAAAATATTCGACTACCTCTGAATTTATTTACATGTCTATGTATTAATAATGCGTTTATTTATATTTGCATTCATAACAAATGTTCACTTTATACACTTTTTATAATTCTCTAGATTGTTCGCAATCGACGTGCGATCTAACTCAGCGCATGCAGTCTTATGCTAGCAGCAGTTCATCGAGCGGCGTATTAGCCAGTTATTCTAAAAGCCTGAGCCAAAACCTTAGCCGGGGATCATCAAACAGCAACTGCTCGGTATTGGAAGGTATAGATCTTAACATGGTACCTAGTATTGATCTAGCAAGCAGCTTGCCATCATGCGCTAGCAACACCACCTTAGCTACCGCATCAGATCGAATGTCGGATCGTTCCATCTATAATAGTAATAATTCGTGTTTTCAAATACCCGTCTCAAGTAACTCTTCGACGCTGTGTGCTAAGCTGCCCATTAATTGTGTTGATAAAAGGTCTCCAATACATTTTAGGTGCTTAATTACTTAATCAAATCATATAATAGTGAAGCAATTTAACTATTTTTCAATATTGTAGGGAAGGTCGAAGGGCAAGTGATGGTCTTGTTGCTCAAGGGTTTGTGAATTCAATGACAATTTTAAATTCTGGCGTTGGTTATGGTAGTTACCGTTATGATACCCGGAAGCAAGATTGCTGGCTGGAATTACAACAACTACAAAAGGAAGTTGTATCACTTAAATCTAAATATCGTAGCAATAAAGTACCTCTAGACGACGGCGGCAATTATCAATTTCACAGTAGTCAATTTTACTCAATTCCAAATAGACTGTCACTTGATTTGCATCATCAGTTCGTACAATCTCCGCACACTCCGAGAACGCCACTTCTAGTACGTCCACAACATAGTTTCGAACCTATAGATTTTCCCGCGCCATTCATAAATAATGTACGCTTCGACGCAAGTAATCTGCCTATGACTTCGCCCGCTCGTGCTGATATGACGCTCCTTTGCAACATGAATCCATTAGTTATACAGCGACAGCCACTTCAACAACAGTTGCTACAACACAGACTATTGCTACAAAAACGACAACTATTGCAAAAACAATTCGCCTTGGAGTCTCACATTTCACGACAACAGCTTATGATGCGCGAACAATCTTTTAAAGCAGGTCCACCACAACAAGTTGTTGGTCAAGGCTTAATTGCAACTAGTTTTGAGTCTGCAGAATCATGCCCACCTAGCGATCTTTTCATAAATGGTTTGAACGTGTTTGAACGGGGTTCGTCAAAGTTCCAACAGTCATCAATAATCCCACTGCCTTATGGCCCAACGATTAATAACTACATGAAGACGTCTTATATAAAACAGCAATCCCAAGACCTTTCTATGCTCACGATGCCTACTAAATATACACCTCCGTTGAGTAGACACGCATCAGAGACTTGGAGCTCACTTCCAACAACTGTGAACAGTAGTCAATTGAAAAAACCAAGTAAATTAATTGAAAACGGCGGACGCTTAGCGCCACAGTTTCATGCAAATGTAGGTAAACTAATGGTGAAAATCCTCTAAGTAAAAAAAATCATCTTATGGTAATACAAGTAGTTCATTATACCATGGCAATAAAACATTATGCATCCATATACCCGCATAGATCTATAATGTATGTACTTAACCTTCGGAGGTCATATGTACATATTTGATTTTTCATGAACGACACAGAGGAGTAAATTCTAACCCAATACAAAATTTACTTTTAAAACGTTCAGCTAAAGTTTTTTACACCCTGAACACCTGAACAGGGTATATTAACTTTGCCACGAAGTTGGTAACATCCATCGGAAAATATTTATATAAATAGGTGATTAGAGTGACGAGTTAAATCGCCATATCCGTCTGTCTGTCTGCATATACGCGTACTAGTCCTTCAGTTTTTGATATATCTGCTCATTTCGCCGCCGATATCGGATCACTATAGCATATTGCTGTCTTAATTTTTTTTTTACTTATCAAGACATATTCGTGGAATTCAGCATGTATTATTTTCCACCACTTCCGGACCACTATCGTGTATGTTATACGTAGCTGCCATTCAAACTGACCGATAATCAAGTTTTTGTATGAAAACTTGTTTATTTGTGAAGGAACCGAAGATAACGCTTTTTTCTTGTTTTGTTTTTGTTTTGTTGGAAGTATTTAGATAAAGTAATTTTGAAATCAAATGTATTTTTGAACTTAGTCAAAGGTAACAGTTCATAAATATCATGGTTAACTTTTATTGATATAAATAAAATGTTTGTCAAAAGCAAGCATTATGGAGTGTCTTCTGAAGGATAAAAGTGAAATGCGCCGAATCAAGAATTCGGGAAAATTCAAATCAATAAATATAATTGTAAGTTTAAACATTATGAAAATCGGACCTGAGCTTTCTACTTATTCAACATTTCCTATGACTTCATTGTAGAGTTTCCGAATGAATTAAATCGACCGACAACTTATGACACATTCGACATAATGCAACATTGTTTTTACTAAAGACCTTAGTCTTAAATTAAATGCTATACTTTTAACTATATTTATATTTGTCCCGTTCTTTCACGGAAATTGTCATAAGATTGTTTTTTCCAGAATCTACGAAAGTCCATTCGTTGAAGTCTTCGTAAATCCGAATTATATTTTTGAAATTCGTAGGTGACATGCACTGAAACCTCGAAACGTCAAACTAACTCAGCAATTCATGAGTACCCGAAACTACAATATGGTACATTAAAAGAATTAGCATGGAAAGTAAAAGCATAAACATACCACATTCCTTGCAATGCTTGACAATTCATACTTTTACAACGAAGCGAAGAAGGCAAAGGTTGTGTCAGAATGATCTCATTGTTTCCGTGCATCTGTCGAATAAAAATGGCGATTGCTGTTTGTCAAAGTGTGGTGTAAAAAGATGGGAGTTGCCCAATATTTTGTTTCGCTTTGCTTTGCTTCGCCGCTATGTGAACGGGCTGTTACAAAAGCATGCATAAAACTGATTTGTCAAAACAAAAGTCTCAACCAAAGTGAAGCAGAAGTTGTATGTAAAAGGTTTTGCCAAGCAACATCCGCCTTTTTTATTACTTATTTCTTTTATTTTTCAATTGGATCGCTATACATTTTGAAATATGTATGTAAGCTTAGTTTACCAAATCCAAAATACAAAATATTCCATGTTTTCTCCGTTCATGATTAAAAAAATTGTTACCGATTAAACTTTGGATATGTTATCCACAAAATTCCGTAATTAACCGTCAAAAACTTATATTCAAACTTTTAAAACTCTTTTTGTGTGACACTGATTGTTGAACTTATTCCGTCTTCTCTAATTCAAAAAGATCACTCATATTTGATGGAGTTTTCTTTTGATTTTTTTAAAAAACTTAGTTAACAACAAACACAATAATATCAAATTTGAAAACTTTATAATTCAGAACACCTGTTTCTCCATGGCGCGTGTTATGTAACTAGATTATGAACACAGTTTTTGAGTTCTCAAGGGTTCAGTGTAACACATTTGTAGCCTTAACGAGTATTTGAATTTTTGCTCAGAGCCAATTAACTCATTCAACACAAACTCAGGGAAGAAAATAATATTAAACTTTTTTGTGGTTTTTAAGTATGTATATGTACATATTTTGCATATAACTACAGCTTATGATATTTTCTTTCAGACAAACGTTTACACATCGAACTGGCAAACCATCATAAGGCCCCTCAGTGAAAGCCCAATTCTGGAATTAGCTGAACATTTGGAGTCTGTATGATCTTTACATACTTAAACAATTTACGTAGTTAATTCGTATCGAAAACAAGAACAATAAAATAATATCAATTACATAATTGCATTTACACTTTAATAGTAATAGTTATTATTGTGAAACTATGCATAATATTGCTTAAAATAAACATCGACAGTTCTTACAAATAAATATACATGTAAACTCGTACATGCCTACTATATATTTGTGTTGCTTACATACGGAATTCATACATTCCCATATCATTTAAATATCTTCATAATTCAAAACAGTTTTTGGAACTATTATTCATTTTATTTGGCAATGTGTTTTTTGGGACTCGAAATTAAAATTAGTTTTCATAAAGTGCATTTGCAACCTGTTGGCAAGGTACGTAGCGTAGCCATAATACTTTCTGATTGTCATAACTAATAACTTACACCCTCCTGATTATTCTATGCTAAATTAATACATTATGTGATCTCTGTTCTCCACTGAGGTGGATATTTACTGAAGCGTTACATGCGTATGTGTATTAGGATGAGCTGAGCCCATGTCCGCAAGGCTTTCCGAATATAACATTGCACTAATCTTTACGCTTTCTTCCGGCATCGTAATAAATTCCAATAGGCTTGCCTGTATTCACTAGACATCATAACATATATAATGGGATTTATACAAGTGGTCAAATATATCAGTAAATATCCACTTATATTAACAATATGTAAATCTGTCGTACTTTTCCAAAGTTTTGTTATAGTTATTGGTAAATGACAGAAAAGAAATGATATAAATATAACCAAGATCATTTTTAGTAACCTTCGATCTTTCTGGCTCATTCTCCCCGGATATATAGAGGAGGCATTCGATGTATTTCCCATAGAGATATAATGGCTTTTTCGTGGTGCGATCCTATTGAAAGATGTTTTTAAAGATGTGGTTATGAATCCTTTATGTCTGAAATGCAGTCGAGACAAGCATTATATATACATATATGTATATTTATATTCGTAAATTTTTCCTTTTATTAGACTGTGATGTAATTACATGTATTAGGTTGTTAGCAACAATTTGACTGTCGTTTAAAAGCCGTATACATCTTTATATAGTTAACTTACCTCGGGGCATAAATATATTTATATATATCTGAATATTATAAAAGGTCGGTACAATACTTAATAGAAAAAACTTTTTGGATTGACGGGAATATTTATAAATCAAAGAAAAGAACAAATAAAAGCAGAGCGCTGTATTGCAAATAATACACCAGAGGATTAATGAAAAATAGTAAGTATTAACCTAAGTCATGCAAGCAGAGAGGTCAATCTAATTTATAGATTTTTTTGAAGTAAAACTTCTAATGCGAGTTCGGAAAAAGGTTGTGTTAAACGTTTAACACGCAGTGGTTATGGTGTATGTGAAGCATCACATACATACATTCCAAATCACCACTAAAATTTTCGTTCCGCTATTCTATTACTGTGTTACTTGTTAATTCTCAACTACTTTAAACAAGTTGTAGCATAAGAGGCTGCTTGTGTGTTGAACAAAGCATACACCGGATGGAGGCTTATACAGTTCTGCTGAGTTATAGCTCAAACAGTCACCGACATTCCTCCCTTCCGTATTTACCGCCCGTATCGAACTAAATTTGTCAAAAGTTATGCCCGTAGGTGCAACGCAGAAATCAGTTGTTCTCTTTTGTTTTCATTTCACCAATGTTGCCATTCTTCTATTGGTATACACAATTTTTCACACATTTAGTGTTTTAGTTATAGTTTTTCATTTTGTAAAAGCTCAAAACTAAAATCCAACTATTAAAAATGTATACCTATTTATAAATAAATTTATTCGACTGTGATTTTAAGCTAAATAATATTTCAAATGTATTCAAATTTATTTTTTAATTACTACAAAATATCGAGACTGGCAACCCTGCGTTGCAAGAGATTGTACTCTCAAGGCACAAACAGTCACCGACGCAAAACCGTGTCCCGAATCAGCTGATACGACCTATCTTATGAGAGCGCCATGTAAATGATCAGTCACCACCGCTTCTACCGCCCGCTTCAACAGACAGTTTAGATTTTAGATTTTTCCATAGCAACGAGTGAGCTGAGAGTGAGAGAGCAATCTCTTGCAACGCATGGTTGCCAGTCTCAATATTTTGTAGTAGTTAAAAAATAATCTTGAATATATTTGAAATAATCTTAAAATATATAAAAAATTAAACTATTTTTAGAAGTTGGATTTTAGTTTTGAGCTTTTGCATTATGAAAAATTATAAATAAACAAGTAAGGAAGAGCTAAGCTCGGATGTAACCGAACATTTCATACTCTCGCAAAGTCAATTGGTATGCTCGTTTTAGATTTCTTTGTGGATATTGCCGTCTTGTTCTATGTTGACCGATATTTTCGGTAAAAAATCAACTATAGGTACTGGGGTCCACATATTCAGTACCTAAGGGCTTGAACAGTTTTGATTCAATTTAGATAATTTTTGGTCACAAGGTGGCATATTTTAGGTTTAGATTTTAGGTTGGAAAGTGAAAAAATCAGATGGAATTTAAAATGATGTTATATGGGAAATAGGCGGGGTTGTAATCTTACTTCGCCCATTTTCGTACTATAACATAGAAGTATGAGAAGAATATTATTTACCGAATTTGGTTGAAATCGGTTAAGCAGATCCCAAGATATGGGGTTTCACCTAAAAGTGGGCGGTGTCACGCCTACTATCTAATTTTGAACGTGGTTCCTATAAAATCATCTTATACCATCCCAGATAGAATATTTAATGGTTCTGGCTTGTTTAGTGCTTGATTTATTACGCTTTTAGTAGTTTTTAACCGTACCGTTATATGGGGAGTGGGCGGGGTTGTCACCCGATTTCACCCATTTTAACACCGTCGATAGAGATTCCCAGTAAATTTTGTTATTATAGCTTCACTGGTATAGGAGATATGCACAATAAACTTGTTAGGGGGCGGGACCACGCCCACTTTAAAAAAAATTTAACTGCAGATGCCCCTCCCTAATGTGATCCTGTACACCAAATAAGAGTCTTGTATCCTGTTGTGGAGCTTAGTTATGGCAATTTATTTGTTTTTGATTAATGGCGTTTTGTGGGCGTGATAGTGGTCCGATTACGCCCATATGCAATACCAACCATCTTACGGTATCAAGAAATATGTGTACCAAGTTTCATAAAGATATCTCAATTTTTACTTTACAGCTTGCATAGACGGATGGACGGACAGACAGTCACTAGGATATCAACTCGTCTCTTCATCCTGATCATTTATATAATATATACCTATATAACCCTATATCTAACTCGGTTAGTTTTAGATGATACAAACAACCGTTAGATGAGCAAAACTGTTGTACCCTGTAGCAACAAGTTGCGAGAGTATAAAAACTGAATGTGTGAAAAATTGTTTATACAAAGAGAACAATGGCAACATTGGTGAAATGAAAACAAAAGAGAACAACGGCGATAAGTAAGGAAGGGAATGTCGGTGACTGTTTGGGCACATTGGTGGAATGAAAACAAAAGAGAACAACGGCGATAAGTAAGGAAGGGAATGTCGGTGACTGTTTTTGGGCACTCACTCTCAGCTCACTCGTTTCTACGGGAAAATCAAATTTTCGCGGATATCCTACCGTAGGTCTGTAGAAGCGGTAGTAACTGTTTATTTACATTAGGCTCTCATAAGATGGGTCGTATCAGCTGAGATGGAAAAAGAGTTATCAAATACGGTAACTAGTAACCTGTCCACAAATTCTAAATCTTTCACAAATGTTGATTCCTGTAGAAGTAACTTTTCAAAAACAAAAATGCGAGATGAGATGATCAAATTGCGGTAAATCGAATTTGCATATTAGATAAAAAAGTATTCGACTTTATTAACTCGAAAAAAGACATTTCGGTAATAGTATTTAAATGTCAAAGTCTTCGTGCACCCGCCAATGATTTTACCGATCGAGACCAAAATGCAAATATTTCCATGTTATCAGAAACGTTTGTGAGCGATGAAGAACCTCCTGTGTAAGTACCAAATTTTGAGTTTGTTGTGAGATTTCAACGTAATGAAATTTGAAATTCAGATGTTGCCATCTATCGTAATGAAAAGGACAGATATTGCGTTGTTAATCCTGATTAGCAAATAAAAGCTCCTTACTCAAGTGTCAATGATGTCACGATATCAACATCAGCAAGAATTGGGGACTAATGTGTAGAGTGAAAAATAAACCCCAACGATAACAATAGTAAGAAATTAGTTCTAATAGCTATTTATCTATCACCAAATGCTTCAGTGAGGGATATCAAATTAATCTTCGGAAAAGCTTATTGCGTAGAATATTGTGAACAGCCGGTATTCTTGCGGGTGATTTTAATGTAAATTTTTCATTGCCAGAAGCTGCGCCATTACTACAATTCCTTAAAGGTAAATTATCTTTAGAAATGATTATTGGTAGAAATAATCCAACGGCAAAAGGGCGGACCAAATTGATGCAGTTTTCGCCAGAAAAATTAATAAAATAGAAATTAAACATTTCATATCTTATTTTAGCTATTGTATCATAATCCTTTTATAAATATTATTAATATGAATACAGCCCTCGCTGAAAGTGAGAATTAAATTAAAAAAATGTGTTTGTCAAAAATAAAATAAAAATTTGTATTTGCCAAAAATGTAGTGTTATAAAACGTTGATTTCAATACTTTTATGTTTTAAATTTGCCATCATAAAGTTTCACTTCTTCCGCACGGGGGGACGGCACGCTGTTGTTTGTATCACCTAAAACTAATCGAGTTAGATATAGGGTTATATATATATATATAAATGATCAGGATCAAGAGACGAGTTGAAATCCGGGTGACTGTCTGTCCGTCCGTCCGCCTGTGCAAGCTGTAACTTGAGTAAAAATTGAGATATCTTTATGAAACTTTGTACCGTAAGACGGTTGGTATTGCAGATGAGCGTAATCGACCACTGTCACGTCCACAAAATGCCATTAGTCAAAAACAAATAAATTGCCATATCTAAGCTCCACAATAAGATACAGGACTGTTATTTGGTATACAGGATCACATTAGGGAGGGGCATCTGCAG